AGGGAAAATTAAGTTTTTATAAGGCTATAGAAACCCTCCCCAACACTGTGACGCAAGAGAGGGTGCCATCTAAGAGACTCAAGCAGACCCGAGTTTATACAGTTGAAGCATGCTACCGGAAAAAAAAGGTTCTACTACAAGGCACCTCATGAAAATCCTCAATTATCTTTTCCATGCCCCTCTTTGGTTGGTCCAAGATTCATTCTCAAATGGAAGTAAGGCCTATCCTACATTTTATGAATCTCTATTTTAGCATCATCTGCAAATCTCATCCATGTCCGAGCAAAGGTTTACTGAAAGAAGACCTTTTTCTCAAACACATACAATGCCTCCCCAAGAATACAATAGTTTAGACATAACTTTGACCTTTTACTCAAGTTTGCACAAGTTCAGAAACTAAGTTTACACTCAAATAATCACTACCAAAGATTGTTATGCAGAAACATAAACAACATCCTAACCAACCAAAGCTGTGTTCACTAAGTCTATATAACCATGTAAAATACTTTACACGGAGTCAATTAGTGAAAATTCGGTAGGTGAAGTAAAGAGTATCTCAACTAACCTTCGTAAAGAACTTTTGCGCATGGCTTCTGATCTGGACGGCAGTCTTTGTTCCGATATGCTCTGCACATTAACAACAAGAACAAAAAAGAAGAAGAGAAGAGCCACGTCTCCCATCAAGAAAAGATGAAATTAAAGTGGTAGATACAGACCTAAGTCAATCCGCTACATAGTTCATATAAGTTTTACCATAACATAAAAACCAACAAACAAACAAACAAACACAAAGCAGGTAGCCCATTATACATGAAGAGATTTGAAAAGCAAGCTTGACCTTCAATTCGCTGCCAAGCCCTTCCATAAAGCCTCAAGGCTTCCAAGAACCTATCATGCTCCTCCTCTGTCCATCTCTCCCGCTGTTTCGTTATTGTATACGGCTTTCTTGTCTAACATAACATAACAAAAAAAAATTTGTTTCCACATCTTTACACTAGAATCAGATACCAAAAGATGATAAAAACCCCAACTTTTGTATTACCTTAGTTACCAATTCTTCTCCAGAGGTATTTGTTTCCATAACCGGACCTGGGCAGCTGCCGCTGCTTCAAATCCTCTTTAACAAGTATCTTATAATAGAGAAACCATCTTTCACCTCCCCACACATGGAAATTTTTGAATAGCAAAGCCACTTCAACTACTGCAATAGAGAAAGGGCAATGACTACCTGTAGTAGAAATCGGCGCAATTAAGCATCTCAATTCACGCTAATGGCATATCTGAACTTTGTATTATATAATTGAAACTGAAAGAGACAATAAATCCAAGAAGATCTTTTTAGAGTCCACCGTGGAAACAGTAGCTTCTCCAGCAGAACTCAAAAGACTCTTCCTTCTCACAAGCCTCACCCAAAGGAACCCATAGGAGCCAAAACCTTTGCCACACAATGATCAAATAGCAAAAAGAGGGGGAAATATTCGATCAGTAGCTAACCACTATACAAAGGGTTAAAAATTTCAAGTACTCGGATAATTCAGCTAACTTAGAGCTAACGCATGTTTGACTTATCAATCCACGTCTTTCCAGAATTTTCTCCGCGACCAAACAGAGAATCCAAGATACAATAGAAACCCTAAAAAATAGTAGGAATGTAAACGACATACCTTTGAAAATATCCATGGAGAATACGCGATCGGACGGGGGCACCAAACGAAATCACTGGAAATCTGCCGGAGAATTCATTGCTCCGGCGAAAAATTGATCCGAAAAATCTCCAAAAAAAACACCAAACAGAGAAAAATATAAAGGAAGAAGAAGAACGACTATTCCCTGAAGAAGACTGGAAGCGAAACGCCAGAAACAATCTCAGCCACTACAATTTTTTCCATATTTATTTTTTCTTCGAGAAAATTAAAATTTTCGAGGAAATTTTTTAATTTCGTTTTTATTTGAGGCTGAAACAGCAGGAAGGGCGTAAATGGGAAAAACAAAATCACTGAAATTTGACACGTGGCAATATTTTAGTGGCAGATTGGTTGCACTTTTTGGTTTCGCCCAACCAGTGCCTTTGAGCCGTTGCTTGCGGCCTCCATCTTCAAATCTCAGCCACAAGTTTCTCTGGGTGAAGGTCAATTATGTAAAAAGCTCATGCGGGGCCCACAAATGACGTGGCGGTTCCTTCCGGTCACGCTTGCCCATCACTACTACCGAAAAAGAGAAAACGCGAAAGGCTGAGGCGCCAGCGTGGCAGTTGTGACCGGTACGTGACGGTTGCATTTCGGCATGTGTGGCCTTTTGTTTAGATCCGTTGGATCTTTGGATTGAAAGTAAGGCCGTAAATGGGCCTCGCCTTATGCATCTTATTTTTATTTTATGGGCCAACGTATACTACTACTTTTTCAGCCCATGTGAAGGCCACATGGGACAACAAGGGTAGGATGGTAAAAGGAATACGGTTTTTTATCAACATTTTTTTTTTGTTTGGGACATATTATTTTTTTTTTCAAGTAGACGTGTGTGACGTATCTTGTGCCACGTCCTCACACTCCAAATATGCGATGCCAAATTATCGAAATAAAATTAAAAAAAAAAATTAAATGGTTGCCTTTTGTTTTTAAATTTAAAATCCTTGTAACAATTTTGCACACTCGAGAACGTAAATAGATATTGCATGGTTCTGACTTTAGCAATGTGATGAAATTGGGTCCCACAAGAGTGTCCAAAAAGATCTGAGTTACGAGAAGAAAGATGTCTGACGCCTGATCGAAGTTGACCGACGGGACGTCAAAGAGTGTTTTCCGAACCGGACAAAAACCAAATTTCAATATACGCTTTGGTAAGTTCGTTTTATATCTCGTACCCCTCAAGTAGTGTTTCGGTGCAACGTGTTTCGTTTGCCAACAAATCGTTTAACAGTGTGTGTGTGTATATATATATATATATATATATATACTCGTCACTTCGAATTACATGACACATCATGCTTAGAATAATTGTAATATTATACTGATAATACCCTAAACTTATATTATATCTCTAACCTAAATCATATTTTCGTAAGGAAAAGTCAAAAGTTTATGCAGTACTTATTTTTTTAAAAATTAATTAAGTGATTGCAAGAGGTTATATTAGAAAAAAAAGATAAAAATTTTATAAGAAAAAGGTGCAAATAACCAAAGCGCAAAAGAGATAGACTGCATGTGCATGGACTCACCTTTTACGATGCTTTTACTGACTTTGGGATATGAAATTTCCTCTGCCCCTTCTGATGCAATTTTTTTTTTATTTTTGTACCCTTCATTTGCCTCTCTGCCTGTGCGCGCTGTGTACGAATGTGTACACTTGTTGAAACACGGACCCCAAGATTCAAATTACTGCCCTCATTATTTTCGAAAATGCATAGAAAAATTAAAAACTGTCTCCAGTTGCCCTATTTGTTCACTTTCCTGTAACAAATGAAAAATAATTTAACAAATGAAAAATCAACCACCTCAATGAAATAGTGATGTCAAAATGAACCCGGCTCGCGAGCTGGCTCGCGGTTGGCTCGTTTTTTATCGAGTTGGGCTGAAAAAATAAAAGACCAAATAAAAACGGGCCGAAAGAGCCAGCTCGCGCGACGAGCCCGAGCCCATCCGGGCTAGCTCAGTCGGTTCGCGAGCCGGCTCGCGAGCTGACATTAAAAAAATATTAGGGTTTCATACTTTAATTTATTCACTTCTTCTGTTTATATAGCAAATTAAAATTCATGATATGTTGATGTTGGTGTATATTTTTTGATGTTGTTGGTGTATGACACTTTTTATGTTGATGTTGATGTATATTTTTTGTTATATTTTGATGTTGTTGGTGTATTACACTTTTTTATGTTGGTTTGGTTTTGTTAATTTTTCTTGATTTAGATATAGTTTTATGGATTGTTATGCTAAATATTTTATGTTATATTGTATGACTTCAAAATATTGTTATGTAGATTTTAAATGATTAATTTTCATGTAATTTTAAAAAAATTTGAATAATTAGATAAAAATGGGTTGGCTCGCGAGCCGGCTCAGAGCTCGGACAATTTGGTCTGGGCCAGAGTTTTTCTAGCTCGTAAAAAAACGGGTCGAACGGGCTGAGCCAAAATTGAGCTGGCTCGAGACGAGTCGGTCCGGGCCGGTCCGAGCCAGCCCGTTTTACATCACTAAATGAAAGTAACAGATAAAACGATTTTATGTATAAGCATGTGTGCTTATGGACTCAGTTTTGCATTAAGCCCAGAAGTAAAAAAAAATAGTTAGGCTTTATAATTTTAAATATAGTTGTCATAAAGGCGCTTTAAATATAATTTAGCATATAAGTTGCCATGCATTGAGAAAGTGATCACTAAAACAAGAAATTAGTACAAATTACGATTAAAATCTCTAACGACAGCCCATGCAATAACACCACACCATCATTTGGTCCGTCGGATGAAAACTCTTCCATAGACCTAGAAGGTGAAATACAACCCTACTTTAGCAATTTTTTTTCTCTCTCTCTCTCTATATATATATTACACGGTGTACTTGTCTCTCCTCCTGAAACCTTAATTATTGTAAGGTCAAAGCCAACTGAGTCTGACTAATGTTTGACCCTATCATCCACCGTTGATATGTTTGAATATCTGATGAACGGCTGCTGTTATCTCATCGGCCGGCCCTAGCTTACAGTCATCTTCCATCTGCATGCAAAACGCACAGAATATCCTACCTTACGTATACTGAATATATATATATATATGTGCGTGTATATATGTATCATGCTACAGGTTTCGTTTTCGTCACTTGCATTTTATGTTTCTCAATAAACTAGGCTTTGACTAGTGTTGTTATAAACGTTGCTCAAGAAAATAGAAAAGAGCAACAAAATTCACCTTCAGTAAAAACTAGATAATAAAAAATTATTATATCTTAGTTAGGAAAAAGATTGTAAGCCTATAAAAAGTTTAATACAGTGCACGAAAAGATTAAAACAAATGTAACGTTGAAAATATGTCATGAACGTAAAATTATTTATAGCTCTTTTTTTTTTGTTAAAGGTTGTATTTATAGTTCTTAATGTTGTCTGTTTAATCTCCCGCGGAAAAGTAAAATTGAAATGCTATAATTAAGAAGAGTGCCCATATATAGCTAGCTACTGGTACTTATTAGCAAACGATAAAACGAGGAATAAAGTGACAGATTTAGGAATATTTATGTATATACATATCTATACAAATATGGTAAGAAAAATTAAAAATAATATTTTAAAAAAACGTAACAAAAAAATACCTTGAGATTGAAAGAGTAGAAGACAAAGTCCAAGGAAGAGGTGATGCTGAGATGCAAAATCGTAAGCTTTAACTCTTCGAGAGAGACGATAGCTCTCAGAATCTGCCCTCGTCGTCTTTTACACCGGACTTTCAAGCTCACGTGATTCTGTACCACCGTTGCTTCTACCTCCACCGCGGATCTCCCGGCGGAGACCTCGCCGTCCGGCGTGGAGCCGATCAAAACGGACGAAGAACTGCATGCACGACACGACACCGTTTTATCTTTCTCCACGTCCCGTTTCTCGGCTTCGAGAGAGTGTAATAGCTGCTCGAGCTCCTTGATAAAATCAATGGCGCCTCCGACAATAGAAGCCTGGTCTCCCTGAAACAAGAAAACGATGGAGTTCGAGCTGAATGTCGAGAAAGATCGAAACTTTTTTTCGAAATTTGTCTACTTTAGATTGGGTTTTACGCGTTGGAGATAGGATTGCGGCATGAGGCACTTAAGGGAGTTCAAATGCTCGTTCATTTGCCGTCTCCGGTTACGTTCGATGGCGATGTGAGTCATTCTCTGGCTCTCCACTTCTTCTTTGTTCTTAGGCGTTCTCGTCCGTTTACGTTTTCTCCCTTGTTTGACGGATTCATTCGCTAGTGGCACCGCCAATGAAGGAGTGGGAGAAGGAGAAGGTGATAAAGATCCCAACTTGAAGGGCTTGTCATTATGAGGAATTGTGGTTTCGAGGGTAAGACAGCTTTCTAGTTCTAGGGTTTGGATTTGGAGGAGGGACTGTACAAGGTTTGGTTCTGATCTGAAGGGCAAGAACGCGGTGGGCTCTACGCGTCGGAGCATTTGAAGAAATGGGATCTTGTCTTCAATGGCGGTGTCGTCTGAGAATTGAACTTGTGCTTCTTCCTCTTCTTCTTCATTGAATCTGAGGCTGCCATTGGAGGGAAGAAGTCCATGTTGTGACCAGTCCACGGCGGCAAAATGGTCATCCATGAGCTGCAAAAACAAACAGAGAATGAGGTACAAGGAGAACAATAAATGAGGAGGAGATTGGAATGTCGCCGAGAGAGGAAACATGGAAGTTGCAGAATTCGGAGAATTTTTCGAGAAATTTAAGACCTTTGCATTGAATGCAAACCAAATGCAAAGAATCTCTCTCCAATGAGTATTTAAGAGGGGGATATAAAGGGAGAGATTATGAATGAGCAAAACATACACACGAATCTATAGGTGAGAGTGGAGGCTCTCCATTGGAGCAAAACATACACAGTCTCCTTTCCTTTGATCGCTTGAGATACGCGTGTTTGTGCGTCACATTAATTCCTCGTTATTCTCTCTCTCCTCAGCCAAACGTTTGCCTCCGCTAACTAAATCACTACTGTTTGTAATAAATGAAGCTCCAAGAGGCAAAACTAGAACCCTATAGCATTGCCACATATACACACACACAAACGAGAGAGAGAGAGAGAGAGAGAGAGAGAGAGAGAGAGAGAGAGAGAGAGAGAGAGAGGGAAGGAGAGAGAGAAGAGATTTGGTTTGAGAGTGCTATGTAGGAGAAGAAGAATACTTGTAACCAAGAAAGTGTATCTATGTAAATATGTGCTTTGGGACTGCGGATTTACGGGGAGAGAGAGAGAGAGAGAAGGAGAGAGAGAGAGAGGTTAAAGAGGTCCCCCCAATGAGTATTATTGGAGATGGCAGTTATGTCAGCCAATGAAGGCAGAGCCCGTGGGGACATACTTTCCATGAACAGTACTTCTCAGAACACAGACGATGATGAAGAAGATGAACATTAGAGTACCATTCTTCGCCTCTTCTTTTTAGCTTCTCAAAAGGCTTTTTCTGGCCTCTCATCTTTTATTAAGAACAAAAAAAATTGATTTTTTCACTAAAAAATAAACTACATTTATGGATTTCACAAATAAACTATTGTCATAAATAAAAGACGTATTATATTCTAATACCGAAAATGCCCCACAAGGTTTCCAACATGGTTATCCTAGTGATAACTCAGTTCCAGTGCCTTGGTCTCTCGGCCACCAACAGTATTCTCCTTTTGTTTTTGCCATCACAGTCCCAAAAATAGACATACATACATTAAAAAGATTTTTTTTTTTTAAATCGTAATCGAAAAATAAAGTTTGCGTTTCAAAATATTCTTGTAACAGTTTTAATATATCTATGGACTTACTCGAACATTAAATCAATTGACCTTTTTCATTGTCTCTATACGTGTAATCGGTCCACGTATTCCGTATATAAGTATAAAAAAATAGTATTGATGGATATTTATTTTTGGCATATGATAAGAAAAAAAAAATCTAAAAATCTATGCGTAAAATCAATATATAAATATTACGTGGAACAAGGAGCTTCTCAAAATTCATGAACCTTATCTGAAACTTTTCGGAATTGATTTGTTCATTCAGTCAATTCCACGAACGGGCCGGCACGACGCAGGTTTCGGGCTAAACTTGGGCCGAATACCTTTACGAACAGAAAATATAACAAACCCAACAAATTACGTGTAGGCCCACTATTTAAGGCCCATTACGTGTGATCTTGATCCTTCTTTTAGAAAAAAATTGAAAACGGTGGGTCGATTAAATTATTAATTAAAATAAATTAACACGAGGCACGTGTTCTACGATTGAAGACTAATATTATCTAGGGGTGTACGTGTAATACAAGATAGTACACTTCATTTCTATAAATATGCAAATGGAAGGATTCGCTGTCAGTCCCTTGCTTTCGTAATGGACACGTCACCTTTATTTATAAATAAATTAACAGAACGTCTTTAAAGAAACAAAATAAATATTTATCGTTATATTTTTCGTGCATATGTTCACGTATTGAGTACCTTTTAATATTCAATATGAGAAACAAATAATGGATATATAAATCGTTACAACATTATGAGATAGAGTTTTCACACACACACACAAAAAAAAACATAATCAGGGAGGCATTTAGGTAAAATTTGGGTAATGATAATCGAATATTTTTCATGTCACAAACATAAACCTTTTGGTCTGATTTCAGACCATTTATGCGATATTAACCCCATCATGGAGACACTGGTGCAACCACTGGGTGACCTTTCTTACATTCTTCTTCTTCCTCGCCTTCATCGATTTGACACGGTAACTTCGCTGCACACTCATTCATTTGCCTGATTTTACCCCACAGGAATACATAAAGGCCGACTACAACGACCACAGATCCCAAAACACTACAAAATAAAATAGAGAACTTAGATATATATATATTAATCTATATATAATTAACTGTGTACGTGATTGGATTTTTTAGTATATTTTACGTACTTTCCGATATAAATATCGCGGTGAAGGATTGAGAAATCGAATAGAGTTGCGAATATAAGCACCACAGGAGAAAAGGTAGATGTAAAAATAGGTCCTCTCTGTTTGATGCACCAAGATATCCCCACGGTACAGATTCCTTGTCCGACCACTCCCTGCAAAAGTCGTACGTAACATGCATGAAGACATGTTCTCCATCGACATCGATCGATAAAAAGCTTGAAAATGATTGCCTTTCCCCTTTTTAGGGAAGAATCTTTGTAACTGTATTTACCGCATAAACAACTGTGATGACATCTAATTTGTCTCTGAGGATCCAAGCTGTAATATCCCGAGACTTGATGAGACTGAGAAGAGCACATTGGATGGTGCCGAAGAAGGATAATATGACTGTGCTTGAATACTGGCAGGGATACTTCCTGTTGATATTGGCTTGTATAAGCATCCAAGAACCGAAAAAGCTGCTCCCTGCGAATAAAAGTACGCATCCGATGATCCAATTCTCGGGTTTCATCTCGTGTCTATGGATGTTCACTGGTGATGAAGCAGCTGCTTGTTCGTGGTGAAGGCTTGTCAAGGGAACTCCCTTGTACATCGTGAGGAACAAAGCTCCTCCTATACATACCAAAGTCCCCACCATCATAGCCATTCCCGCTTTGCTTTTCATGTTTAGCTTTTCAATCCTACAAAAAAGACCCCTCATATATTCAAAATTCAATTTATTGCTATATGCAAAGGAAAAGGAAGAACCTATAATGAGGTTGATATTTGCATAAGTGCTTGAAAACTTTAATTACCAACTAAAGTTTGTGGGACAGTTTTGGTTTTGCAACTCTCATGCGTGGCACATGAAAATAAATTGCTTACAAGGGATTTTTTTTTTGGAAATATGCTTTTCATGCATATGTTGCTATTTCCGAAGCTTTGGAAAAGACAATCATGGTTTATGTGAAAAACAAAACCCCTTTTCCTTTTTTTTGTTTTTTAAATGGAATCATTAATAAATCCATGCGCATGTGTATATAGTTAAACCTAGTTACTTGATAATTACCTGAATATTAGGGCCATGATGAAGGTAACTGCGGGAACCATGCCCGTAAAAGCACATGCTAACGTAGCTGAAGTGTACGAGAGGCCGAGCAGGAAGAAATACTGCGTCAAACTTGCCCTAATTTTCATAACCATTTTATCTCTTAATAAGACTCGTTTTGATGGATAAATAAACAAAATGGGGACGAGAATGCAAATATCAAAAATTATGGGGCCAAATCTAAACGAACCCAAGGAGAGCACTGAAGAAAAGCTGGCACAGGATGCTGAACGTAAGCTTCGGCCGTGTTTTCCTGCGTACATGCAGAATCATGTTTCCACAATTGAAATCACACATTTTTAAAGTGTATATATATATGCATTCAATCGTATAAAATGAGATAATTATATATCGAGATATGTTAAATGCTTACTAACCGTTCCCAAAAATAGGCGATTGGAATCAAGAACGCCGTAGAAATAGCGAGACGGTACGTAGCGATAACCATATGGTTAAGACCACCGTCGAGGAGTTTCTTAATCATGGCGTTAACCGAACCGGTTGCCGAGTTTATCACAATCATCATGATGATCGGCGTCCATTTTCCATCGCAATAACTCATGATTAATTATTAATTAAATAACCTTTTAATTAATAATTAATCTCTCTCTCTTACTCTCTACGTGCTTGTGTCTGAGTGAGGAAGCCCACGAATTCATTGGGCATGGTCACCGTGGATATATATAGATGGAGGGGAATTACTTGTTCCTTTATTCACATATTATATTATTTATATAATTATATTTAAAAATTTTAGATTGATTTTATGCGGTCGTCTTTAGTGGTTCGGTCGCAAAATGTGTTAAGAAACGGTGGATTTAAATTATTCCTGTGATGATCCACGTGTTTCTTCGAGCCAAACATACGTAGAAAAGAATCTAATATCACCTTTCACGATAATCTTTTTATTTCCGATTCTGTGTTTGACGCTTTGCTATGCCATTTTATTTGGTAGACGAATTTTATTTCATTGTCTTCCCCATTCAACAACAATGTGCAATTTCTTAATTACAGTTTTGGTAATTATTTTTAATATCTCATGAGAACTTTAGTTAGTGATATTTCGAAATGAATCATATTTGATTAAATTAACGAACTGCAAATAATCCGGTAACATACTAACAAAAAAAAAACATACTATCAACGTAATATAGAATTAATGTGTATTAAATATTAATTATCGTTGTATAAGATTTTGAAAGGGATTCAACGAATTTAGGTGGTTTTCCATCTTAGGTCCAAATATGTACGTTAGGGTTAGGGATAACAAAGGAATAGATGTATGTCTCACTAATATAACGTATGGTTTAGATTGAGAAGCCAGCCATTTTAGCTGATGGAACCGACGGAGGATATAGACGTATTTGATGACCTTGAAGTTTGCAGGGGAATATACGTTATAAGTTTTTTTATGAATATTTTTTTTGTATAAGTTATAATTTTAAGGTTATCAATAACTTTATTCGGTGTACATTTATGTATAGCAACACAAATTACCAAAAAAAGAGAGAGAGAGAGACAGGTATAGTCAAGTTGCAAGTTGAAATATTATATATCTTCGTTTTGCTCTTCTATATAATAAATGATAAAAAAAAAAATCACGGTGTTGTAAATTTGTCACGTGAGAGAGTATTTACTCGAAATTAACTTAGCAAACATAAAAACATACTTAAACTTAATGGTCGATTATTGGATTCGGAGAGTAAAGTCAAAAGAAATGAGAAGAAAGGGAGATATTTAAACATGGAAAAGAAAGTAAAAAGGCTAAAAAACGGAGGAAAATATTTTTTTATAAATATTTTGATATCTTTATTTCCAATTTTTAGAAATCATATAATTCCAATTTTGATATCTTTAATTACCCCCAAATCACTCTTTATATACCTTTTTCTTTATTTTTAGAAATCATTCTTTATGGTTCGATTTTGTAGGATTTCGTGGAATAAAGTGGAGGAAAATATTTTTTTTGCTTGGTCATTAATTAATATTTTTTTGGAAGATGTATTCTCGTAAAAAACGGAGGGTGCAAATCTTCCCCCAAAAAATAAGAATATAAAAAAAGTATAATTCTTCATTTCATTCAAAATGTTCCTCGAATATTAGATATCATATCTATTTTCGATGTAGTGGACACGTTGATGGTGTCAGGTAATATTTCCATAGAAAGTTTAATTTTCTCCACCCATTTTTTTCATGCACATATTTTTCGCCCTACCTTGTAATATTACTATTTTTATGGGTATTTCGGATTGTCAAAATGAATGGACTCGCAAATCAGATTATATTTTTCCAAATTTGGACTGAAAAAATTTGAGCTCGAAAAAAGGGGCCAAACGAATCAGAAAAAAAGAAAATTATTTTTAATATTTTTTTAAAATATTTTTAAAAACATATGTCAAATTTTAATATTTTTATTATTTTAATATATTTATTATTATTATTATTATTAATTATTTGTGTAATATTTTTTATTATATTTTATTTTTTTCCTCACGAGTTCAAACGATTTGATCTAAACTTGAATTTTTTTTTATCCGAATAAGAATAGACTTAATAAATTGGGCTGAAAATGAGTTGGGTCGAAACGGGATTGTCTCGATCCATTTTACATCTCTAGGGATATTATAAGGCGTAATCACAGCCCTAACAAAAAGAATTAAATTGTCTATTTGTTCACATAATTTTTAAAATGTTAAATATTTTGAAATTGAATTAATTTATGTGTGTTTTGTAGTAGTATCAAAGATCGTAATGGGCCCAAGGTAGATCTAGTATTTGTAATGAGCCATGGATGTGTCCACAGTCCACCATTTATATGGTTGCTTAAATTTATAAATGGGCCTCAGAATTGTTTAATATTATTTATGGGCCTTACCTTTAGTTCGCATATTTGTAAATGATTCGTATAAATGAGCCTTGCTTGAGCTTCTCATAATTCGTGACCTTATCTGAAAAAAATTCGGAATTGATTTGTTTATTCAGTCAATTCCAAGAGGCAAGAACGGCCACGCACGCACGCGCAGATTTCGGGCTAAACTTGGGCCGAATACCTTGTAGGCCCATTTGTTTAAATTCATTGCAAATATATTGAAGCCCGTTATCTAAGGCCCATTACCTGTGATCCTGATCCCTTTTTTAAAATTAAAAATCGTGGATCGATTAAATTATTAATTAAAATAAATTAATACGAGGCACGTGTTTTACGTTGAAGACTAATATAAGGTGGAACAACGTTGTCGAAGTTCCATTTATCTTTTCTGTCAAAAAAAGAAAAAAAAAATGTCTGTTTCTTTCCTCCTCCATCAAAATAAATAATCTTTTCGTTTTTTATACAATTGTGGGCACCTCAATTATAGATCTATATTCGATTTTCGCAAGTGAAATGGTTTTCATATACAATACCTCAAGTTTTTTTATAAAAGCGTTAAACAAATTTAATTATCTAATATACACAGATACAAGATTCACTTCATGTCTATAAATATACAAATGGTATGGAAGTGACAATCTATCGTCTCGAACAAGACTCATAGCTCTTCATCTTGATGTTCCCGTGCACTGATAACACCAACTGATATGATATGTGAAAAAAAGCCCTAATCCCGAACCATTGATGAATCCAATAAGCAGTGGTAGAGATGCATACAAAACCGAAAATAAGCACATTTTCTTGTTAAAAACATATCACGGGACCCACGTTTGGGTGGCCTAGTGGTGAGAGAACATGCAAAGCATGCTCTCACCCTGGGTTCAAACCCAAGCGTGGGGAGAGGCATTCACCTGGGTTTCTCCGGTCCTCTGGGAGATGTAGTCGGACCACCGGTGAACTTCCAGATTATCAAAAAAAAAAAAAAAAA